TCACATTGCCTGTGAATAAGCAGGAAGGACAGAATAAGTACTGCAAGTGATTTTTAACAATTTCGGGCTTATAGAAACTTGCTTCAGGTTGATGGGACAGTAACCATTTCTGAAGCAATGTAAATATGCTCTTGTATCTAGAAGGTGACACACTTAGTGGGGAAAATAATAGGATTTTTCTTTGGCTTTCTAATTTATATCCAAGTGTGTTATCACTGGCATAGTCTTCACACATCAGCCTTAAAAAAAAAAAAAAAGAGACAGCAGACCTGCAAATATATCAGTTTTCCACTGAGGTTGGATCAAAATTTCCTTCTGAGGAAAAAAAAAGCAGGAACATTTAAATTGAGCTTCTTAATTTATTTCAGTGTTTGCCATTTTCTCAAAGCAGTATCCATGTATTTCCAGTAAAGTGTTTCTCTTTAATTAGGTGCGTTAAATCAATATATGAATACATTGGCTTATGGAAATTTTGAAAGTGTTGAATCTGATATAGAGATGGCTCCAAAATTAATCTTTGGAGAAATATGTTGCCATATTTCTCAAAAACCACTCAACTTTTAAAAGCAAGGAAAATGAAAATTTGTAGTCATGCAAAGTAAGCTTGCAGTGATTTAAATAATTCACTAAAATGTATAAGCTTACTAAAGAGGTATTTTAAACTTATTTTGTAAAGTTTATTGCTTAAAAACTAATTCACAAATGTAAAGTCTCTGTTGGACTGAAATTAAGAGTTTGCATTACTCGCCATCCCTGTACAAATAGGAAGTGGCTAGGTAGAATCTGATTTATGAAAAATATCCTTCCAAATATCCTAAAGTGTAAAGATTTAAATCAAGGTATTTTAGGAAAAAAATACCGTGAGTTTATAATCAATATTTAAATGAGTTTCATATTATACATATAATCCCTGTTACACTAATTTTACTGGTATTTACAAAACCTATTTGGTAATCAAAAACACAAAACAAAAAAATACAATAAGGAAAAGGTTACAAAGAGCAAGGTGGATTATGTTGTATGAATATTAATGTTGATGAGTGGTTTTAAATGTACTTTTATAAAAATTATTTAAACATAGTTTGAAGTTTAATAATTAGCACTAATTAGATTTGATGCTAGACTTAAGTGATAACATCTGTAGAAAACTAAGAAATTGATACGTTTTTCTCTGAGTGACAGAAAACTGACAACTAAATATTAATTTATGGAGACTTTTGACGTTATTATAAGAGGAGAATTATATTTAAATTCTGAAAGTTTAAAATTTAAAGGAAAAAGAAGTTTAAATGGGCCTTCTTTGGGTTGATGGTGACTTTTGGCATAGCTTTAATAACTATTAAATAACTGTAATGACTATTGAAGCTATGTAATTCTGATTTTTGACCTCCAAGTGGAAGGGGGAGTTAAAAAGTAGACAAAAGGAGCCCAGCTAGGAAATTACTGCAACCGTCCAAGTGGAAGATGATGTACTACCAGAAGAGTGTGTGTGTGTGTGTGTGTGTGTGTGTGCACTTAACAATGCATAAAGAGAGGACAGAATGAACTTTATATAAACATGGAGAAATGGGCAAATTTAGCATTTCCTCCTGATCTTCTTTCTATAATATAGTTTATGTTTAAGGGATTTACTACATATTTACTTGCATGTCAAGAACTATGAAGGGTCAGAGGTTTTTCCCTATTGTCATGTTAACAGTTTTGTCTGCTTCAATTGCATGGATGCAGGCAGATGACAGAAGACTTTTGGGTCAGAGACAAAGGATTTAATTGCTTAAGGTGCAGAGTGCAACAGCAGCATATTTATATCTGTTCCTTTGTGTCCAGATCTCAATGAGGCAACGCAGATTGGCTAGATGAACAGCTATAGGTGCAGTGGGTTGCATTACTTAAGAGCAACTCTGATGTAAGGAAACCTGAATGTTTTATAATAGGCAGTAGTGGACAAGCCCTTTGCTATGTAAGGAGATACCATTGTACAAGGCCATAACATGTTTATCTTTGCTCCTAAGGGAGACACAACCTTGTCTTCCAAGACTATTCACTATACAGACATCCTTGAAAGACTGTGAGAAGAAGATAGTGACTTTACTAGTAAAATGTGTAGAGGCACGGGAGAATCATGGAGAATTGTCATTCAACACACATAAATATTTTCACATATCATTAATTTTTTATCAGCATATTAAATGGCTGCATATAGCTATAAAGAATGAATTGTAGGGATACATCACGATTTACCATCAATCCCCAATTTTCCTAATATTGATCTTTTAGGTTGTTTTCATTAAAAAAAAACCTCCACTTAGACATTTCAGTTTAGGGTAGAATGGGGTAAAATATTGCCATCACCTTGAATGTGTTGTGGCTACTCTGGAGTAGATAGCACATGGGCTCTCCCAACTTGAAGTCTGTACAGCCTCTTCAGCTTGGCCTTATACATATATATGCACTGGCTGCAAACAGCAAGCATGTCTATTGTTTCAAGATGTTATCCAGAAGGAGGCAGGCCCTGTGAAGCTAGAAATTAATGCTGCTGTTGGTAGTCCAGCCTGCACTGGTTTTCCTCTGAAACTGAAGATATTTCCTGACATTTCTGCTGCTCACATGTCTGACTGAGACTCACACAGAAGCTCCTACTGCCTGGCATTAACAGGGCCCAGAAAAGTCCATACAAATCCTTGTAGTAAAAAGGGGAAAAATCTGAGATCCAAATAATGAGCATCTTGTCCAGACATCTGGAGGGGGCCTGTTCTGCTGATAGGAGTTAAAAAAAGACCAAATGGGATCATAACCAGGTTGTACTCCTAGAGCTTGTTTTAAAGAAAGTACCCAGTGTGGAAACTTTCCTGAGTTGTGAGGTTTTCTAAGTTATCTAAAATGTTGCAGAAGTGGCACCGATATTTGGACAAGACTTCCCTAGTGGAAAGGAAGACTGGATACACTAGAAGAGTCATTTCCTAGTCAAAAATTATCCCAGAAAATTCCAGATTAAAATTTGCAGTAGATGAGGCCATAAAATTGGACTGTAAATATGGAATGAGGCAAATTTAATAACTTTCAGAGAAATGAGTGATTAGAGATTAAGCAAGAGTCAAAACATTGTAATTTTTTTTTTTAAATAATAGTAAAAGGTATACTGCGGTGTCTTCCATAGTCTTTAAGACGTACAAAACAAACTCACTTATTCCTAGAGCAAACATTTTTGGCACCCAGTATATTTAATGCTCTTCTAGAAATTGAATAATTGGTGTACCCAAAACAGGTGATGTTCCATTTTCATGGGGCATCAAGTCTAGAAAGCAAGCAAGTATTAAACACCTAAGACTCTTTCAAATAGTGAAGAGTCCTATGGGGGAAAAAAAAGGAATCAAACAGTGTAGTGTGACAGGCTAGTGTGGTGAGCATGAGGTGGAAGGTGGGGAGACACTGCTAGGGGAAGTGGCTAGAGAGGGTTTTTCTGAGAAGCATTTGAACTAAAACCTAAGGGATGAGATGCTGAGTGAGGTGAAGGCGTTGGTGAAGGCATTCTGCTCAAAGGGAATGGCAAAGGCAAAGCTTATGAGGCAAGAAGATGTGTAACAGGGGCCTCCCTGGTAGTGCAAGGGGTTAAGCACCGCACTATGAAGCAATCCACAGCCTCTGCAGCACAAGTTCGATCCCTGGCCAGCCAGGGAGCAACCCACATGGCGCAGCAGACCTTTCCTGACTCGCCCGCTGCTCCCCTCAGCAGTGTATTTCATTCAGTCTGCATGTTCTGTTCCCCACTCTCTCTGGTGAATCCTCTTACCCCCCACATCTCTGGCCTGTGCCCCAGCTCTTGTATGCATAAATAATTAAATCTTTAAAAAAAGAGTGAGAGTAAAAAAAGAACATGTGTGTAACAGTTTCGAGGACATTAAAGAGCTTTGGAACAAATATGCTGGAACCTAATGACTGGGAATGAAGGAAGTAAGATGACCTCAGGGCCAGTTGCTGTAAGGAGTCTTGGGTATCAGTAAAAGGTCTGGATTTCAAATCTAATGGGTGATGTAATGTTTCTTTTCTCATGCAACAGAATGGTGAAATACAGATTTATAATCTTTTTAAAAATGGCTTTGGTCTCTGTACCAGGAAGTCCAGTGAGTGAGGTCGGTGAGTAGATGCTAGCGATTAGAGAGGTTTGGTAGTAATGTATCAGTTTAGATAAGGGATGTGTTTTGGAGCAAAACCTGTTAAAGTTTTTGGTGTGTTGACTTTGGATGGAGAAGGGAGGAGAGGAATTAGGGATGACTTTTATTACAGATTTGGGACTTGGGGTACTTAATGGCTCTATAATTACTGAGATAAGGAAGACTAAGAAATGAATGGTTTTCCATGGAATAGCAGGGAAACATCACTAATCACATTGAAAGTGGAAATGCATCACTCATATTAACAATAATAGAGATATTTTCAATGCATCATTAAGTGTGTTGAAAATATCTCTGCCTGACTGCAAAAGAAAATCTTGCATGAAGGAAATAATACTTAGTATTGAAATTGCTGCCCAATTTTGTTGGATTGTATTGGAGTATCTACAGCTTTACTTGGTAGATGGAGTATGAATGTATGTAGGATGGTTGTCGGGATGGATGGTTGGATGAATGGTTGGATGGATGGATGGTTGGACGGATGGATGGACGGATGGACGGATGGATGGGTGTTATCAGTGACTGGAAGGATAAACAGATGGATGAAAGTGTCTTAGAAGTAAATGTTCAAATTGACTCCTTCCATATCTAATATGTAGCTGTGTCAATGAAGTCATTGAAAGATGCCTTTTTCAGAGCACACGGTGCTCTCAGGGATTTTGACCCAAACTACTTTATTTGCTCTGAGAGTGAAAGAGTAGTTTGTCTGAAATATTACCCATAATTCCTTCCCATGGAGCTAATACTTGGTCACTCATTTCAACTGTCACAGCAGAGTGGTTTATTTTTCACTTTATAAAAATTATCACAATAATCTTTATTTCCCAGACAGGAAGCACTGCTCGCAGCAATCAGCGAGAAAGATGCTAACATTGCCTTGCTGGAATTGTCTGCCTCCAAGAAGAAAAAGACGCAGGAAGAAGTCATGGCCCTTAAGCGGGAAAAAGATCGATTAGTACATCAGTTAAAACAGCAGGTAGGACCTACTGCATGAAAAGTGTCTTTTGCTGGATTTGGGGCCTTGGGTGCTTTCTCTGGGTTTAGCAGCTCTTCATTTTTCCATGTCCATCCTGCGGGCTCAAGCAGCTGAAATCAGATAGGAATGAAACGGCCCGAGTTTTTGTTGGAACATCATTCAACTGCTTTTCTGTGCATGTGCCTGGGCGTCTGTGGTTTGCCATCAGTGCTGGTTTCCTTTCCTTTTTTGTTAGCATCATCTCACCAGAAATACCTCTCAGCTCTTTTCCTTCCAGTGGACTTTATATGACTTCAGAAACTAAATCCTAGAAACTATGAATTAAATTCTGGCAACTTCTTTCCCATTGGACCTGTTACTTTCTGTCTTGCTCACTTTCTAGGCCCTGTTTAAAAAAAATCTTCCCTCATTTAGTTCTTTAGATTTCTTTCTCTCCATACATCCAACTTTGGTTCTTCAACTATTTCTTCCAGCATTTTTCAATGCAGGAACATTTTCCAGTCCTTTGCATTGCTAGCCATTATTAGTTGGATTTATAAAAATCTCGTTTATCCTATTATCTTTTTTTCCTCCTCTCTAAGCCACTATATTCTTCTGAGGGTAAAGGAAGGAGGTGCAAAGTTCTAATTTGTGCAGAAAGTTCTTTGCTTTCTGATGTGTTTTCAGTGGATATAATTTCACCAGAAGAATATGCAAATCATCCCTGAAATTATCAGGTATTATTTCTCCATATATAACCCGGGGACTTTTGGGAGGTATTCATTCAGATTCTAGCATTATGAACCCTTCTCAGCAGATGTTATGGCTCAGTGGTCTGTGGTCTCACAAGGTGGCTGTCACATCTTAGCAAGGGCCACATGTGGCTCTGAGGCTCTCTAAATGCCACATGGTACCATGTAGAGTATGTCTACATCAATTTTAGCCCCTAGGACTCATCTCTGTCTTCTAGAGTGAGCACAAGAAGAGGGATAAGCATCCTCCCCTCACAATTGGGCCAACCCTTTCCCTCCTCAGGAAGGAAAAGTCATCCTGAGGCCCCGGACCAGTATCCATTTCTCATGGGACTGCCTTGCTGAGAGAGAGAGAAAATGAGAGGGGGAGAGACCACCACATCTGGGTGCCCTCTCCCATGAAGGGAAAGTCTCCTACTCACTGCCAGACATTGGGGTCATTCCACAGAGCGGCATGCCTTGCTAACGCTGGTCCCGGGGGTTGGGGTTAGCTTCATCTGCCTCTTTGTTTGGGGCTGTGCATCTTCTACACTGGGTTTTCCACCCACTTGGCCAAAGAAAGTCAAGACAAACCTCCTTCTTTGCTTTCTCCTAATTCCTTCCCTGTTTGCCCTGCATCCTCCCCTCCTGCACCTAACCATTGTAGCTTTCTCCCACAGGTTTATAGACCTAGGAAACAGCCCTTGAGCTCGAATATACCATGCACTTGTGATGCTGGCTACAGCCCAGATATTACGGCCACGTACCACGGGTCAAGCTACGATGCTTACATGATCCAAAGGTCTCAGGTCAGTCAGCTGCTAAGGAGACACTCACCCCAGCACAGGGGGTGGGGGTGCATAAGAGCTGCTTCCTATCTTGATCTCCACCTCTTTTGATGATTTCCAGCACTGGGTAGCCATAAAGTCTGGGACCATAAATGACAGCTTTATATCTTGACTTGTAATGCAATTTCATTTATCATGCCTTTGCAATGGTTCCAGTCTTGGTGTCCACCTTACCTACAGGGTCAGTTCTTCTGAAATAACTTGGCATCATTGCAAACTCAAGACTTCCAGAGGCCTTACTATCAAGCACAGCAGAGGAATTTTTCTTTCTGTCTCTCAGATACTTTGCTCTCCATGTCTCCCTTTACTTTTCTCAGCAAGGAATTTTTAAGGCTGCTTTTTTCTTTCTCAGCATCATGAAAATGCACTCCTGGATTCCAGGAAGGATTGAGTGTAGCCCTTCAATTTGCTCCTGGGAAACTGCACAAAGCCTTCATTATTCACGACATGCTTGGTTTTGGGTATCGTGGGGCACATTGGGGAAACCCCAGCCATGCAAAGTTAGGCTCCCGCCTGGCTAAGGCAAAATCTGAAGGGCTGTTGTGGAGAGGCTGCAAAGGAGGAGTTTGGGCTCCTTGGTGATTTAGGTTTAAAATCTTTCCACACACTTTACCTGTAAGGAAGTGTGTGTGGATCTATGTATCCTCATAGCAAATGATAATGAATCCAGGATTGATTCATTTTTATTTATTGAGTGTTTACTCTGTGCGAGGAGTGTATCTAGTGTCCTTTGGGGATTTTGTCCTAGTCACATTCGTGCTATGGCTGGGTACAAGATTACCCTTCTTTTCCAGGGGCCATAACTGAGACTCAAATGTGGAATAACTAACCCAAGACCCACAGATTGTAAGCCCCAGGGCTTGGGTTTGGGTAGTTCAGCTGAGTCCACACTCATGCCACCATATTCATGAGAGGATTCAGAGTAACCAACAGAAAGGTGTTCCAGACACCGCAAAGCTTCTTATTTTTGTAAACCTGAAAGATATCAGAATGTCCATTCAAGAACGATCTTCAACCATTCATAATGAGTAGGTTCTGCCATAGCCCTTAAGCTTAGGTTATTGATCTCATGAATAATTACAAATATTTTTGAGCTCTTGATGTGCCCACATGAGTCTATCAGCTTTGCATACATTAACTCATCCATTCTCAGCAAAGCTGAAAGGCAGATGCTCTTGTGGAGAAGGAACTAGATATCTACAGAGGTTGGGTGTCTTGCTCAGGTTTCATTGGTAGACAACACCAAGATGTCTGAGAAGACCCTTTGCCACAGAACCATAGCAGATCTTGGAGATGCCACCTGTAGTTTGACCACTTAGAACAAATCTTGTTTTCGCACCTATCAACTAAGTTATCAAAGACAAGAGACAGAAGTTCCCTGAGCCTCAATTTCCCCATCTGTAAATTGAACTAATAACCTAATTCAAAGGGTTGTGATGAAGTGTAATGTACATAAAGTATTTTGTGGTGTCTGGCACACAATAGCTACTATTATCAGAGATAGTTTTATTTTGATTTCATCATTGCTTCTTTTCACATACCTGGAAGTCACAGCTCATTGAGAACACTTGAACTGCAGAAGAAAAACAGACAAATTTTGGCACCTAAGCCTTTCTGGTCTGCCCTTTCCTAAAGCCCAAGAACTGGGGAGCAGTGGATAGACATGCCAGGAATCCTATATCCAAGCTCGCAGCCTGCCCAGAAGAGGCCCATAGCAGTTATGAAATTTACTTGTTTTATGCATGCTCCCCATGTAGATATCGATCAGAAAAGAAAAGTCACCCTGGGAAGGTGACTCACAAATTTCAATTGTCGCTCATTTAACAACTCCCCTAGTTATTACTATTTGCCAAAATATATTGTAGGAATTACTGAATACTTACATGAATGAGTGCACAATTCCCATATGCCAGTCTCTGTGCCAAGTACTTTATGTATACATAAATTTAAAAACATCTCACTTTTCCCTCATCACCAACCAACTACTGCATACCTACTGTGTGTCAGGATTCATCCACAGCGGATGTTTTACCTTCCTCAATGAGAGGAACATCATCCCCATATTTGAGTTGATTAAAACAAGGCTCCAGGTGACCAGATAACACTATTACCATCATATACTCATACTAGGCACTGCAGGGCTTGGCCACTGTGTGTAGAAGTGCTAATACTTTGCTCTTAACTAGGCTGAATACTGTCTCCCTAAAGCAATACCATGAACAATTGATTAGTCCCCATACCTCAAGATGTTCTAAGAGATCCCCATTTCTAATGCTTCAGTTAGAAGCTCCCAAGCTGCCGAGGGCCATGAAGGTGAGAGGGGGTAGCTTACTGAGAGAAAGTGCTATGTTGAAATTCAACTCAACACCTATTCATTGAGCGCCTTTTCTGTGTTACAACACTAGGCATTTTTGGAATAGATCATTGAACAAAGTAGAGCTTCCTCATGGAGCTTACTTTTTTCTTCTTCTTCTTATTTTATTTTTTTAATATTTTATTTTATATAATTCTTACATCATTTTTCATCATTGTACAATGTATGCATTTTCATTTTGGTTATATTCCCCATATAATTGCACCCCCCCTTATTTTGACCCTAGTTCTTCCTCTCCCCACCCCTCCCTAATCCACCCCCCCATAGTGTGTCTCTGGTTTAGAGTTGCTTGTTGATTTTGATTATTTCTTTGCATTGATTAGTCTTTTTCCTGGTCTCTTATTTAGGTTTTTTAAATTCCTGCTATGAGTGAGACCATCCGGTGTTTTTCTTTTTCTTTCTGACTTATTTCACTGAGCATGATCCCTTCTAGCTCCAACCCAAATGCCCAAAAATAGATGACTGGATCAAGAAGATGTGGTACATATACACAATGGAATATCACTCAGCAATCAAAAAAGATAAACACATGCAGTTTATGGAGCTTACTTTTTTAATGAAGGTAGGGGGAGAAAGGCAATAAACCATAAACCTAATAAATTAGTAAATTATATAGTAGAAAAATAAAACTATAAGCCAGTATAAGGGAGAACAGGAATGCCAGGGTAGGAATAAGGGACTGGTGAGAATGTAAAATAAGGTCAATAGGATGGGCCTCATTGGGATGGTGACATTTGAGCAAAAACTGGAAGGAGATGAGTTGTCCTGCAGATATCTAGGGTAAGAGTATTCTGGAAGAGGGACCTGTCAGTGCAAAAGCCCTAGGGCAGGAGCATGCTGGTGTGCTTATGATATGTCTGGGAATAGCACAGAGGCCAGTGTGGCTGACGTAGAATGAAGAAGGATGTGGAAAGAGTAATGACTGGAGTTGTCTGTGTATGACAATTGTAAAGGACCTAATAAGGGTGGTCTATTCTTGAGCAGAAATTCTCTGCAGTTGGGAAGCAGAAGATACCAACTAGGCAGCCATACAACAGGGAAGGTTCCCTCAGGTAGCACTCAAAGGGC